AATTTGCAGTCAAAATAAGAAAACACAATTGCATCACTTTATTTCAAGTGCATTTTATCTAAATATCTTATTTTAGGAGTCAAATACTCATCCCATTGGCAAACTATCTAATTTACCAACTCAAATTAAGGGTAAATACACTTAATTTAAGACATTTTTAATTATTTCTAGATCGTTTTTCCAGTGTAGCTTTTTACATTTTTGTCGTAACTTTTTCTTTCCAACTTAATTTACAGTAGGTCATATATAATTCAAGGCCTCATCTAATTGGTCAAATTGCAAAATAAGATGTAGAGCCATGTAGCAGGATCTTTGCTCATTGACTGGATATAGATCTTGTGCTTCTAGACCTCACTAAGGTAAGGGGGGGGCTCCATTTGTAAGCGGTATGCTAGTGATCAAAATGATGACTTAATAATAATACATTTTATTTGTAAGGAACTTTACATTTTTTTTTTTTAAATCTCAAAGTGCTACAGGTAAAATCAAAATGTAAAACTAAACATCGCTATAAAACACTTAAGAATAAAATCAATAGCATACTTGCCCTATAAAGGGTTAAGAACATCTAACAGGAGTTGGAAATATTCCGATCTTGTCCGTCTGCTGCGAAAGTCTCTGGCTGTTTCCCATCTCTTTCCTCATTTTGGGTTCTTTGTGTGAACTGCAGACCTACAGCCTAAAGATAACCATTGACGATGGCATTCTGACGAGTCAGAAGACGTTTAGGCAGTTTGAAATGATCCATAATAGTCTCCAGACGTACTTCATTGAATCTAAGCTACCGCAGTGAGTAAAAGAACATCTTTTTTTTCTCACTTGTATTTTTAATTGTTTTTTTTTTTCTAATATGTATAACCTGAATCATATCTTTTGATCACACTAAGGTTTCCAGGCTGGTATAAGATGTCATTCACCCCACAGAGGAGGAAGGCTCTGCTAAACACTTACTTAAAAGAGCTTTTTAAGGGACCGTGCAAAGGAGTAAGTGTCAAATCTCAGGGGAAAGTTTTTTTTTTTTCATAATCTAAAATCTCTAATTCATATTTTGAACTGCTTCTTTGCTTTATCTGCAGGATGAATATGTGTGCAGTTTGTTTCTAGATGGTCCCAAAGTGGAAAAAAATGTAACAGGTGATAATAAGAGCAAAGAAATAACTATAATTGTTCTGTAACAGGTGAGAGTTTGGATATAATCTATGTGATGTGTTGCAGGAGGAGCTCCTCAGATCCAGCTGCATATTTCTTACTCTAACGCCAAGCTCTCAGTGTTGGTGAAACACCTGCAAAACATTGTTAGTTCTCATTTTTCTAACTACTACGTTTGGGGCTTTGGTAATAACAGAAAGGATAAAACGCTCTAAATGGATTTTCTGGGTGGTTTTCAACAGAAGTTGCCAAATGGTTCGAACCCTGATGCGTACGTGGTTACGCGGCTGAGACCAGACCCCCAGCAGACCTCCAAGAGGAAGACAAAGGTGGTCAGCAACAACGACCACCCTACTTTCAATGAGCTGGTAAAGTCCACCCTTCAAACTTCTTTTTTATAACGGAGGTTTCTAGAACTTAAGATTTGAAAATCTGGTCTGTACGGAAGAGGATTAGGGCCACTGGAAAAAAAAGAAATGATTTTTAAATTTTATGTCAGTTTAACATTCTCAGAATTCTGACTTTTTTTTTCAGAATTCTGACAGATAACCAACATGTTAGCATCAAGCCATAGCCATGTCTGTTTTA